ATATTTAAATAGTCATTATGAATTAATTTATATTTGAACACTAAAAAGCTGTTTGTCATCGATAAATTTTTTCAGGTGGCAAAATATAGTTATCGAAAATTCTATCACTTGAAACTTATTGAATTGTATAGCTATAGGGCATCTGCTAGTCGACTATTCTCGAATATTATGTGTTATTTACCAATTGAAATGGCATCCGAAAGGTTCGGGAAAAAATGAAAATGTTTTCTGCGCATTGCATTGCTGCTCCATTTTGATCTTTTGTTCGTGTTGTTTTGTTGTTTATGAAGAAAAACGTATTTTAGAATTGAATTTTGAGCCAAATACGAGGCAATCCGCTGCGTGCATCCAGCAGCCGGCGCTTGGGGCTATTGTTTGCTGCAATTTGAAGGGGAGCACAAACGAAGAAAAACAAAAAATGTGATGGAGCAACTGGCGGCATCTGGACGTGATGTTGGCATTCCAAAATTTGAGATTACTAATTGAATTTGTGGCCATGGGCCATCTATAGATGGCTAAGAAGCTTACACTTTATTTATTATTTATTTAACAATTTACTATACAATTATATTTTATTTTATCTACGCCTTACTGCTGTCAGGCTTATGAGTTACTAAAGTTTCGTATGAATTAGATTACATGGCCATAGGCAAAACTATGTTGATTGATATAGGGTTGATAGCATTCAGAAAGTGAAATTATTATTTGTCATTATAATTCTCACGTGATCAATAGTTCTACGAATGCCGAACCAGTCACGGTTCAATTGCTAATTCGTATTGTGTTAACGCAACGTAAAGTAAATATAACGCAATGTAACGTAAGATAGCATAACGTAATATAAATTATCGTAACGTAACGTAACGTAAAAAGAAAAGCAATGTAACGCGATCTTGACTTGACATAAAAGAGCACAATATAACGTAATGTATAATAACGTAATGTATATAACGTAATGTATATAAAATACTCATAGTTAAAATTAAGTAACGTATTAATATAATATGTAATGCATCGGAATTTTACGTAACGCCCAAACAGTAAAGTAACAATATAACGTAATGTAAAAATATTACGTAATATAAAGGTACGTAAACTATAAGGTAATTTTGAGTTACGTAAAACTATAACGTAATATTGAGTTACGTAAAACTATAACGTAATATTGAGTTACGTAAAACTATAACGTAATAGATTTACGTAAAACTATAACGTAATAGATTTACGTAAAAATATAACGTAATATTATTATGTTACGTAAAACTACAACGTTATATAGAGATTCGTAACTATTACTATTACTATTACGTAAAATAAAGTTACGTAAAACTATTACTCAATATAGAGTAACGTTAAAATTTTACGTTATATAGAGTTACGTATTGATATGACGTAACATAAATATTACGTCAATAATGTAGTATTACGTAATATTGTATTTTTAGGTAATATCATATTATTACGTATTAATATGCTACGTAATAGCTTACGAAATATTATAACGTTGAGTGATTTTATAATATTACAAAATCATATAAATTAACGTAATAATAGAATAATTACGTAATAATAAAATGTTACGTAATAATATAACGTAACGTGAAATAATATAGTGAGACGTTAAGTAATATAGCGTAACGTAACGTAAGAAAATCTAAATAAACTTGCCGCAAACTTTGTATTTATCTAAGTTCTCCGTGTTTAAAGTAAACCTTGACCCAAGATTCGGACTTAGTTTATATCAAATGCGTAAACAGTCAAATTATTTCTACTCAAACCTTTTTTGTCATCTGTATACATAATAAAACCCATTTTTAACACTTGATCATTTATTCGATTAAACTTCTAGACTAATTCAAAGTCTGAGCTGGCCCTTTTCTGCGGGTCAAAGTACCGCTAAGCAGCATCAGTTTGCCTTATCTCAACAAACCCTTTTCGCACTCTTATCACTTGATAAATTTTGTCTCTTTACATAAAATAGAAATGGACTGAGTAATACTTATTAGAAAGCTCAACAGGAGAATGCCCGACTCTTGGTGCATAATTAGCCCGCGCTTCCTGCGACAGCCCCAGGACTTTGTTGGCCAGGACGAAGGACGACGACGGTTGGCTCATCTTTTGGGCAATTTATTGGCATGTGCCGTGCCTGGAATAGAGCCGGTCAAACAGGCACAGCTGGGCTGACCAATCAGCGATTGGTGGCAACCGCTGCAAATGAGTTAAGTTCAGTTTGGCGGCTGGCAAACTTTTCATAACTTTTTCGCTAAGACGATGCGGGCCGTTGCGTTAATTGGAGCTGCGGGATCTGCTAAGCGCCGCAGCGCCACAGAATACAAAGTTGAACGGCGGCTGATTAAACCGTCGGGAGAGCCGGCCGAAGAAGAAGTGCGCTGTGTAATTATCTTGATGAGATTCGCTTGGCCAGTGGAGGTGGCAAGGTGACCCGCGCCCTCACCCTCACCCTGGAGATGCTGCTGCGGTGGGTTCATCAACCGCTTGCGTCGGGCTAAATTAAGTTATGCGTGCAGTGGAACGAAGCGCTTGACATGTCCTCCACTAATAGGCTAAATGAAAACAAAAATGCCAGGCGCCGAGTCAAGTCAAGGCGCTCGCAAATTGACGACAAAGTAACCTAATAACTTTTAACCCGCACAATAATTGGAATTTATGAGACATTTTCAGCAAGCAGCGCTTCAAAGAGGCCATTGGCCCGTGCCCCAGCGAATCACTCACTCGGCCCGGCCCGTGTTAAGCAGAGCGCATAAAGCACCAATACAAGGGTTATGGTCATCGCCACCTCGAGTCCCTTTCGACCCAGGCGGCGACCAAATGGCAAAGTAAAGTGTTGGAAAAGCAAAAAAAACAGAGGAGGAATAAATAGAGAGAGAGGAAAAGTTTGCGCCAAGTTTAAGTGCTTTTAAAAAACCATTAACGTCATTTCCTGTGCTGTCTGTGCTGCGGCGACCTGAACGGCCATGGCTGACTGGCAGATACACTGGGATGAGCTGGCACATGACTTTTGCTAGAGCAGCATCCATAGCTGCCTCTATCGAATTTCTCTCTAACTTATTCTCAATGCGCACTCATACTCTAGTAATCTAGAACCCATATACCCCTCCCTCTCTATTGAGTGCTCACTGACTGCAAGAAAAAGGACGTGCCGAAGCCTTTAGGTAGGTGGATTCCGTCTTTACTTTACGCTCACATTGAGACAGAGCGCGACAGAGCTGCGACGCTTCAATCGCATTGCTCAAGTTTCGCTGGCCAAAACGGTTTCAGGCTTTGTTGAGCAGCGCATTTCTGGTTAATCAAGCTGATGGCGGGAATATTTGTCGCTTTGGTTTTGGTCTGAGGCGGCGAGGTCCAGCAGCGCGTTAGATCTGGCCGTTTGGCATTGCTACGTCTCATGGTGAAGAGGCTGCGATCCCGGCCAGCCGCAGCCCTCTGGGAATGCGGGGGTGCTGGCTGGATTGCTGTATCGGAATTTGATAATGCAGTCTTGAAGCTAGTCGACTGCTGATCCTCGCCTGGCTGCGGCACGGGCCTGGCACTTGTGGGAGCGCACTTCAATTCCTGAGAAGGATTCTGGTTGCTGGGGCAGCGGGCAGCTGGCAGCGGCGACTCCTCGCAGCTGTAGGCGGGCAGCTCAATGGACTCTTGGCTGGCGATGGCGGGCATGCCCCGGTGCTGCATCAGCTTCATTGGACACTCCTGGACGCACTGCTCGAAGGGTCGCTCCTCAGCCGCCATTTTGGTGATCTTCAGGCAGTTGTCGAACATGTCGCGACGCACCTTCTCCTGCTCGATCTTGCATCTCTCGCGATGCTCGTACTTGCGGTAGGCGAGCTGCGCCTTGGAGACGTAGCCCGGCCAGCAGTAGTCGCGAATCTTTCGGCGGTGCACCACTTGACCCTGGGGCACCATGTCCAGCTGGATGTCGCGTCTGTAGCGCTCCGCTGCCTTGGCTATCGGGTACAGGGGTCGGCCCTGTGCCTTCGACTCCTCCATGGCCTTGGCAGCGGCCGCAAAATAGTTGAAGTCATCTTCCAAATGGGGATCCTCGGCGCAGGCCGAGGTGCGCATTAGCTCCTCCTCACGCTGCGCCAGGAACTCATCGCGCTGGCCAAGGAGTATCTTGCGCAGCTCAGCCGCCTCCTCATTCTGCTTCCTCTTCACGGAAGCCGCAAACTTCGCATTGGCGTTCTCGTTCTTAAGCCGCGACGCCAGCTCAAAGCGTCTAATCTCCGCCAGGCGCTGCGCCTTGTCCCCGCGATGCAGCAGATATTCCTGCTCGTATTGCCGTCGCTCCTTGGACAGATTTTCGATATGAAGTTTGCGCTTCAGCTCGTCCGTCTCCTCTGCCTCCTTGTACGACTGCTCTGCCCTCTCGCGCTGCTGCTCCTGCTGCTGCTGCTTGGCCCGCTGCACCAGGCAGTGCTGTTGGGCGGCTGCCGCCAGGTGGCGCATGCGCTGCTCTCGATTTTCCTGCATCTGATTGTTGTAGCGCGAGTCCAGGTAGCGATGGGCCGTCTTGTCCACGCAAATGATTCGATCGTTGACAGAATCAGCCATGGCCTCAACTGTGGAGGGCAGCGCTCGAAAGGATTAAAGGAAACTTTGGTGTTGATCTCTACTTACATCTGGCCTTCGCTGCTTTCTCCTTAAGCGACTCCTGATAGGCATTGCGGCAGAACTCGCGCTTCTTCTCGGCCAGCTCCTTCCGCTTCTGCCGCTCCTTCTCCTGTATGCACTTGTATTGCTCGCGCTCCACAATCGAATCGAACATATTCTGCTCCCTCTCAGCCTCCTTGAGCTGGCGCTTCGCCTCTATGGCCTCCAGGTAGCGGCAGCGCGCCTCCTTCGCCTTGGCCAGCTGCTGTGCCGTGTCCTGCTCCTCGCTGGCGCAGCCAAAGGGTATCAGGGTCTGTGGGCATTGCTGTTCGTCCAGCAGCTCTTGGCGTCGCGCCTTCTCGGCGATCTCAGCATTCAGCTCGTCGTGGTATTTGCGCTGATATATGGTTTCGGATTCGATGAGAGCCGCGTGCAGACCACGCGGACCTGGCTTCAGCATGGTCAGCAGCTGATTGGCTCGCATAATGCGCTGCTTGCGCCTCTTTTCCAGCAGCTCCTGCGTCTGTCGGTTCTTCGTCGCCTCGGCCAGGATCTTGTCCCTGGCCGCCAGCAACTCCTCGTCGTTCTTGCCGGTTAAATCGGGCATGTTGGTGAAGCGCCGCAGCAGCACGGCGTGGCCATTCTGGAGGTACTGGGCGTACCGCTGCTCCTCCGCGAGGGCCTCCAGCTGCTCCTTGCTGTCCCTCTGAACGGATCTGCCGACGATGCCATCGTAGCGCTCGGCCGACAAAACCACGGGCCGAAAGCCGGTGTAAGTCCTCTTGAGCTTCTTGCTCACCGGCTCTGCCGCGCAAGCCTTGTTCAGTCTCATAGTGGTCCGCGTCTCTTCTGGAACCGCAACCAATTTGCAATTTTTGCGAAACAACAAATTAAAACAATTGTGTAATCGTGTAACTGTGTATGTGTTAGATGTTTTTGTTTTTTGTTAGTTTTTTCTTATTTTGTTTTTTGTTTTTGTTTTTTTTTTTTTTTGTGTCATGTTTATGAATGTTAACTTGGGATAGGGCTACATATTTCTCATTATCATTCTCCTCTAACTATCTTAAATATCCAATGAATCTAAGAGGTCTAACAGATGTTATATATATTATATATCAGATCACATAGATATCAGATCATATAGTAGAACTTATAGATTTGGTAGCTCTTAGAGATCTTATAGATTGTAGAAATATTATAGATCTTACATATCCTTATAGATTATAGAAATATTATGGATCTTATATATCCTATACATATATAAGACCTTATTGATCTCAGATATCTAAAAAACCCTACAGATCTTACAGATCTTAGAGAGCTATATATTCTATAGATCTTAGAGGTCTTATAGATTCTATAGATAATAGAGATCCTTGAAAAGATCACATAGATCATAAAGATTTATAGTTCTGAAATGGTTACAGATAGGAATTCTGTTGCAAGTTTACACGCCCCTAAAGTACCTATCGTAAGCCTTATACGTCACACAAAGCTCATGATCATCAAGTTAATGAAGCTAAATAAAGTTAATGTTAATTTGAAAATATATTTAATTGCAACTCAAAAAGTTGGGATTAGGGATGAAAATCAAGTTTTACCTTTGGTTTTCTGTTTGAAATATCTTTGCTCTGGTTAGGTCAGGCCCCTCTCGAATTGGATAAACCTCAATTAGTGTTTTTGCCTGCTTAATCAAATTAGGCAAAGCCTTGGCAACGATGCCGAGGCGCAGAGCGTCCAGTTCGAGTCCAAATGCTGTGAAATCCAATTCCCAGCTGGCGGAAAATTATACAAAAAAGAAAATTCAAATGAATGCGAAAGAAAAACACAGACGGCCAGAGTAAAGTAAAGTTGACTTTCATGCGAAAAGTTTTTTGTTAGAATCGCTGGGCGTGAATTTCTGCGCTCCGCGTGAGGGGCAGTGGCTGCTGGGGCGTGCCATGGAGGGCATGGTGTTTCAGTTGTGGGCGTGATCCTATGCCAAACACCGGCGATTATTGTTACAAAATGCAGCGGGCCGTGTAATTTTTTTTGGGCACGCCGGAGCACGCAGTGGGACTCAAAAAATGGAAATTCAAACTCGCTCTGGCATCCGCATTCGCATTCAGATTCAGATTTGGATTGGGATTGAGATTCAAATAGCCCAAAAGAAGCCGCGAACTTTGCAATGGCCAACGGGGAGTTATATGGCGAAAGGGGCGGGAGGGGCGCGGCAGGCGGCGGTCGTCCTCGTCTGTTGCCTTCTGGAAATTGTTTTGTGAAAATTAGTTTTGAAACTTTTCGCGTTTGGGTTTGAGTTGGGGTTTTTCTTGTATATTTTTTCCGTATGCAAAATGAAAATCTTAGCGCAGCATGCGAAATTAATTTGCATTTGGGCGTGCGTCAACGTTATCATTTTATTTCCTTTTGTTTTTTTTTTTTTCGTTTTTTATTTGTCAGTCGCGTCGAGCCAATAAAAATCAAATTTAAATAATTTTTAATTTATTTAGCTTTACTTTTACGGTTCCTTTTGCACTCATTCAGGAAAGTTAAATGAGTATATTGGTTTTGTGCAATATCCATTTTGCTGTACGTCCGACTGTCTGGCTGTCCGCAGGAATGCAAAGCATTTCGACGCTGTTGAAGCTAGAGAATATAGACTCGTCGATACCCTGCATAAAGCGTTGGGTTCTTGAATGCTTATTATGCAGTCGATAACACCTGATTCGCACGGGTTTCTGTTTTTTTTTTGCGTGTCAGTTTGTGTTTCCCATTGGGATTTTCTTTTGCTCATTTTGCCTGTTGGCCCTTAAACGATTTCGTTGTAATTGCTTTTAAATGATTTGGGGCAGCGCGGAATGTTTGGCAGTGGGAAAAACTTTTTCATTTTGGCATTTTTGATGTGATAATATCCATGCACATTTTGACCTTAAAAATTGGAAAAAAAAAACT